CTTCAGGCGTGGCATTGAGGGAGGCTGACTGAGCCTTGTCCTCGTTTGTTCTGGCTGAGGTGCGGCCCCTCCCCAGATCAGAATCTCCATCGTTGGGACATCGTACTGGGGGGGAAGGGCAGTCACACTCCAGCCGGGCCAGCTCCTCTGCCGTTTTCTTAGGGGATGACGTTGTGGGAAAGGCGAGCACAGGGGCGCTGCGCTGGACTGGAGTCTGGAACTGGTTAGAAAGAGAAGTATCTCTCCCAGCACCTCTGAGTCTGTCAGCTCCGTCATCTTACAGGAAGAGCTCTTGCTCTAACCCTGAGATGAGACCCTCTCCAGGTCTGGCTCCAGCTCTTTTTTCGGGTCACCTGGCACGCCTCGTTGTGTGAAGTCACGACTGGCTGCAGGTTAAAAGTCCCTGTACAACTCAAACGTTAGAATTCAAACTGCCAGCAGTGCGTGGCCAGATTTTTAAATGAAATCTAATTCAAGTTCTTGGCCAGCAGTACCCTCCACATTTATCAAAGTGACATACAAGCTGGAGAAATACAAGACGTCTCAGCACCTGGTGCTGCCGAGTCCGGGGCCATGCCTGGCAGTCCCTTCCCCACAGAGTACACTTCGTTCACATTCTGTGCAAATTACTGGGTCCCCTTCCTTTTAGCCTCCGTAGGTTTCATCTGCTTTAAAAAATGGCTAGGGTCTGTCACGTACGGAGCTGGTTGGTGTCGTTTGCTTGGTCTTCGGGTGGGTCGTGTACAGGAGGCTCATTGGTGTCCTCGCGCCCTGCCCCACCCCTTCCCCAGATGGGTAGTTAGGGCGAAGGCAAGGGCAGTTGAAGAGAAACCTCTGCTCACTTCCTTTACCTCCAGAAGTTAGGATGTCGCCATCAAAGACAAAAGGAGATACGGGAACTCCTGCTGCTTCCGTCTGGTGAGGGGGGTCACTGAGAGACTAGGTCAGGAGAGAGAACTGCGGGAGTGCACACTGAGCCCTTAGGTATTTTCTCGAGATCTCACATCTTAGTGAACAGGAAGTGGGCCCGGGGGTGGGTTGCTGAAATGGATGCTCAGCCCCCGTTTTCCGTGCTCAGCGTTTGAGCGTCGTGCCTGTGATCGGAAGTGGAGGCCCGGCCTCGCGTTAAGGTAGCCAGCGGAGCATCACTCTGATGTCTGAAGAAACGTGTGCAACGAGTACACACTGTTCCGCTCTCTGGACAGCGCCTCATTGACGCCGCCTTTGTCCCCAGCTTCGAGCTGTTCTGTCGTCTCAGTCAGCATCCGACACTTGCTCTTCTAGGTGCGTTTTGGCCAGTGCCGGCCAGAGCTGTGTGTGCTGTGCACGTGGGCGTCTTGCTTCTGGGTCCAGCGCGCACTGGCGTCCGCGGCACGTCCATGGCCGAGGTCCCGCCGTCCCCGCCCCCGGGTCTCTAAGCAGCTGCCGCCAGGGGCCCCGGCCTCTGCCCGCCTGCCCTGCGCCTACCCTTCACGTTTCTCAGTAAGCCGCATCCCTCGCCTTCACTTTCCTTCCCGTTTTTTTGTGTGAATTTAAAAATAGAGGTACATGAAAGTAAGACAGGAAACGATGAATAAAAGGGAAGATATCCAGAATAGCCAGAATACGAATATCCATTCATAATTGTTATTCACACGTGTGTTCCAGAATCGTCCAGGTTGGCTGTACGGTGGCTCTCTTCGGGAGGCGTTCGTGTGGGCAGCCATCCCTGTGGTTTTCAGGTTCCGCTAAGCTGTTTATCAAACCCTCCCGAGGCCGCTGCTCTGAGGACGCAGTGCAAGTAGTTCCTCCCGGAACTGGGTGCGAGCCGCTGGGAGCTGCGCATGCGCTGCTCCGACGGCCCACCGCAGGGTCCCAACGCGGGCAGGCCGTGCCGCAGCTCCGGTGTTCGAGTGTGCGGCCGCCTCCCACCGCACCTCATGTAGACAGCTGTGAAGTTAGCCGCCTTGCAAGGGTGGGCGCCTGCCGCCCCTGACGCGTAAGGTGATGACGGGACGACTGTTGGGCCCAGGCCTCCGTGACAGGCGGAACACGCGTGAGAAGTGCAAAGTCTTGGGAGAAGTGCGGGCGCTGGGACGCGACTGCGCATGCGCCTGGAAGCGGTGCCCGGGCGTCCGCGGCTGACGAGCCGCTGTTTTCTGCGGAGCGACGACCCCAGGCGCACCTGTGAACTCAGGCCTGCGGAGTCCGCGGCACTCAGAACCCCCTTCGGCGGGGGGCGCCGCAGAGCCGCTCGGCGCCGCGCCTTCCTACAGGTTCCTGGGTCACGGACGGGACGGGCCGAATTTGAAGGCCCGAAACAACAGACGTTCCCTTCGCCAGACAGAGCGCCTGCAGTGGAGGCGGGGCAGCCCTTCTGGCTCCTCCGCGTGTCACCTGCAGTGGCTTATGGGGCACCTGCGTTCCAGATGGCTCAGTCCTCGAGGCCACCACCAGCTGGCGATGGCAGTCAGCAGGGACCTGAGGCAGGGCTGTGGACCGCGTCTCGAAGTCTCGTCACCAGGGCCTCCGCACAGGCTACTGCCTCTCTCCTGGCGCGGAGCCTGGGCCGGCGAGGGAGCCCTGCTTCCTGCTTCCATCGCCGGTCTTTGGAGGGAGAGACAGGGCCTCCTGCTCATCTGATCGCGCCTGCGCCCTTGGCAGGCGAGGATGGGCAGCGGACGTCTCTTCTCGGGTTTGGGAACCCCTGTCCTGGGAGCTGCTCTTTGGGGTTTGTGCTGTCGTGATTGGAGATCTGTCTTTTCAGTCACATTTCTGTTTTCGGTGAACTGCCCCGGGCCACCACTGGCCTGCGGAAGACATCTGTGAGCCCTTCAGAAACTGAGAGAAAGTGAGAAGAGGCGCAGCCTCCCTGGAGAGCTCCGGTCCCAATGAGAGCGCCACCTCATTCCTGCCTTTGCGTTAGTTTTCCTAAGATAAAGATCTGGGTTTTTCTGTGGCACGAATTCGCTGGCTTGTTGTTAAAAGGGGATAAAAGGGATGCTTCCTGTGGGCGGGGCACTGCCCTGGAACAAAGCAGAGGTCTCTGGGCTCTTACATGCTGGTGAGGACCAGGGGTGGGTGGGAGGTGTGGGAAGAACGCCCCACAGACTGTACAAAGTGAAGGGCAGGGTAACCAGTGGGAGTGAGCAGGTCCCAGAGAGGCAGGAGGTGATGGGTGCTGGTGAGGACAGAAGAGCAGAGCCATCTGCAGGCCTGGGTTCAGTGGTGATAGTGATGCAATGGTCTGACCAGGGTTGCAAGGTGGAGAGTGCACCTGGCTCTGCCCGCCTCTGTTTTTTCTTATTTTACACGTAAGGAATTGGGGGTGGGGGGAAGCTCAGAGCCACACCTCCTGGTCCCCTGGCTCAGATTCTGGGCTTTTCCCACTCTTGTGTGTGGATTCAAAGGTCAGCATCTCAGGAGTTCAGAGGTTGCGTCTGGCTCTCAGGTTTACAGCAGCAGCTGTGTGGGGCTTCTTTGGGGGAAGGAGAACCAGGGAGAAGCCACCTGCTGAGGCAGCTCGGCTTCCCAGGTGTCCTGTTTGTACCATAAGAAAGCAGGTTTGCAGAGGGTGGAGTTGATTGGGAGATGTGCCATTTGTTGCTCAGCTACTTGGTATGAAAATTGGGTATCTGAAACTATATCTTAAGGATTAAGTAGCTTTATAAATAATCTAAAACAGTTGTTGGCTTTTAGAATTTCATAAATGAAAAAGTAAAGTAACAATTCTTACAATACTTTTCCAGGCCTTTGGGGAAATTGAAATTAGTTGTGTTTTATTACTTTATGCTTTCCAGGCCTGTTGGCGGGTAACATGAGTGAGTTTATTGGTGTAAGGATTAGTTTGTAGCTTGACACTGTCGAGACTCTTGTGGTAGTAAGGAGTGGAGAGTAGCATGTTCCTGATACTTGAGACTTAGGAACTGTCATTTTTAAAAATATTTACTAGTTTGTTTTAAAATACTAAATAGATGCCCTGGCTGGTGAGGCTCAAGCAGTGACCTGTAAACCAAAGGATCACCGGTCACTCAACAATATCGACTGAGCGACCGTTTGCAGAAGAGCTCTTTAGGAACCTCCAAGTGTTAATAATTCTAAACTAATTTAATTTGTTAATCGCCTATATACCATATAAGTGGCCACTTTTGATTGTATTTTTCTTCAGATTTGGGCAAACTGCTGGGCTCCAAAGACTGATTCCTTCAGAGCCACAGGGCCCTTACTGCCCCCCCCCTCCCTTGGGGCAGGACGGGTCTCCCTTCCCTGGTGCTACCTGCAGTGACTGCTCATGTAGATCCCGGGCGCAGGCGGGACGCGAAGCACACACACAGAATGCTCTGATGGGCCAGGTTTCTAAGCCCATGAGTAACGGGTTGGTGTGTTAGAGGTTAAACAACTGCTGCAGTGTTGGGTATGTTTGCATGGGTGCACATGCACACACATGCATTGTGTGTGTGTGTTTCTCTGCCTCCCAATCCTTAGGCCCATCAAGAGAACATATGTAGACAAATGAAGGTATTATGGGGAGAGTGGACAGAAAGCAATAAAAGTGAATAGGAAATTTTTACGGGAGATGAAAAGAGAAGAATTTGACACAGTGACCTCTGTTGCTTTATCTGGTAGCCTGCCTGCTGGGACTTGAAAGCCTAATGACTTTGGGTGTTGGTACAGAGCAGTTCCCTTTCCACCCGCAATGTCTCCTCGCCAGAGAAAGTCCTGTCCCAGTCATCACCCGAGTTTGCTCGTGTGTGCACTCTGCTTACTCCTCCCTTGTATGCACACTGATGCAGAATACCGACGACATTGAAACAGCTGACAGATAAGGTGCTCTTACGGGCCTTCCTTGTAGAACTGTTTTCCCATGTCGAGGACACCAGGCCATGGGCTTGAGTGCATGAGCGTGTTTTTCTGGCTGTGTGCTCGGCCCCACACAGGAGCTCTGGTGTGCTTGCACGAGCCACGTTGAACGTGTGTCGTGCCTCTCTTTCACTTCCTTTTTTGCATTTTTGAATCTTCAGCATGCTGGAGCAGGATTCCAGGAGAATGAGTCCTAGCGTGAACCCTGCAAATCAAAGGAGGCATCTTCTCGGATTTTCTGCCAAGGAGGTGCAAGACACACCTGACAGTGTCATCCAGGAAGACAGCTACAGGTGAGGAGGAGATGTGCTGAGCTGGAGCTGGGAAGCTGATGCGGCTTCTGCAGCGCCGCTCACGTCTCAATGTTGTAGATGGCGCAGCTCGGAGAGCAAATGGGGGCCGAGGCGGGCTGTGCCTTTTCCTGTTGCGGTCAGATCGAGGATTACGTTTACTTTCTGAAAACTTTTCCTGTGTAGAATTTTTGTACAGATGTGGTCTTAGAACCTCAGTTTTTCTGCATTACTATTCATCTTGAAACACACATGATATATAGACACCACACTGTACAATGCTTTTAATGTGGTTTAATTTGTCACGTGTTTACACACATGATGCAGGCAGTGTCTGCAGCTCCTCCCCTGCACCGGGGTGAGAGGGCAGAACGACGTTGGTGAGCCTGTTTGCCGCCATCAGGTAAAGCCATTGGTTCTTGCTGCTGATGCTTGTTGGCTCCTCTTCCCTCGGCACAATTCGACGCTGTCTTGATGCATTTTCACACTGCTTGTCGAGAGTAAAAGACAGAAGTCTGTGGAGATGGAATTTCTTTGTCACATTAATTAGAAGTTAACCACTCAGTGGAGTTCGTGGGCATTTTCAGAGCTGTACCCTTTTTGATAAACATTTCCCCGTGTTGCTTGGAAGTTTCATTAGAGCCACGTGGAGTGCAGTCCTTGGCTAAAGAGGCAGAGGGAGGTCAAGGGGCCGCCGTGGTGCAGGGCGACGTGTGAGTGTCATTGAGGGTTGGATCACCCCATCGTGGAGCGTCACGGGGCGAGGGGAGTTGCCCTGCCGAGTGTCACTGTTACACCCACACCGCTGCACAGGGTGACGGCCTCGAGCCTGCAGGCCGGAGGAAGTGCTCATTTTCCAGGACTCCGCACTGTGCAGCACCGCGCTGTGTGTGGCACAGGGTCCAAGGAATCGTGTCTCGGTCACTGCGGTGCGTGGGGCGTGACCGTTGCTGTGGTGTCGGATGATGTGGTGCCTCCTGACTTGTGGAAACTGAGCTGACTGCTCACTTACTGGTGCCCCTGAGTATCTCTGGGGTTTAGTAGTATCTTCAGTTTTGCTAAGTTATTTGTTTAGGTTTGCCATCCCCGGCCTGGGATCCCGAGTTCTGTTGTCTGTATGAGATCCCTTGAAAGTGACGTTTTAAATGTAACGGTGTTTGGATTTATGGAGTTGACAGTGTTCCCCTTTCGCACGCTTAACATCACAGCTCAGGTGGCCTGTATAGGTGGCTCCCGGAGAGCGTGTGCTCTGGTCACCTTGGCTGAACCACAGGTCTGGGTGACTTCCCAGCTGTCACTTACCAGCTTTCAAAGGAGGACATGAAATGCAGGCCATCTCTTCATTCCCACCCCGAGTCTCCATGCCTGTGTATCACATGGGTTATGGGTCTTGGTAAAAATGGAAGAGAAGATAGATTCTTGGCTACATACAAGTCTCTTAAAATCTCTGATATTATTATCAAGCAGCTTGGGAGATTTAAGTAAATATCAGTCCAGTAAGTCACTGTTCTTGCTTTCATCATTATAATACTGAGTAAGATACCAAAGTTTGCAAAACATTAGAAATACGGATTTGTTTTCAGTAAAATTTCAGGTGATTTATTCGTCCTCTGCCATGACACTTGCATTAATTCTTTTAATGAAGCTTATATTATGTTTCATTTTTTTAGGAGAGTTATGAGACCTGGTTCAGATTAAAAAGTAGATTCCAGTCCTGTAATTTATGGAAATATTGTATTTATTGTTATTTCATAGTTAACTGCATCTGCTTTGGTCTCTGAACTGTGTGGCACAGAATCGGAGGATCATGAATCTTGTCACCCACACTGGGACACTCTTGAGAATGAAAGGTGGTGCAAGTCATCACTTCGGCGGCCACCGGGCTCCGATCAGGACCATCGTCCATCAGTGAGAAGGGACAGTCTCCCCCAGAGGGCAGCAGCCAGCCCAGCTCTCCCCAGACATGTCCGGAACTGCGCCCTGCAGTTCTCTCCAGGGTGGCCCTGGGCTCTGCTGTTGGGTTTGCTCAGGTCCTGACCCGCGTGGCGTGCGGGCCCAACTCTTGAGACGGATGCGGCTGAGAGGCCCCTTTCTCTCTGCTCTGCCTGGCCTCTTCCCTGGTATTTCTTCTATCATATTTTTCTTTCTTTTCCGAAGAATATTTTTGGCTGATAGAACAAAGCCAGTTAGCACAGATGTGCAGAAATCATTACTAGACTCTATCACGTGGAAATAGAATTAGAAATCAGAACGTATTTTCAGGAGCAGTCCTGGCCCTGTCTGGTGGGCGTCAGCGTTTGTGTGTTGGCAGCATACAGATCCGATTTCTGAAATAGCGCGATGGGGGCAGGCCTTTGCTCTCAGGTTTCAGGGTGGCAGGCGGCCTTTCCAGGCACGCAGAATCGACCCGTGCGAGGCCAGCTCTCTCCTGCCTCAGCACTGACATTTGGGCCGACTGCCATCTGTGTGCACAGCCATTACCTGTGCAAACCGTATACTGTGTCCCAACTACTCTGGTGCAGGACTTGGGCCGTGGGAGGAAGGTCTGGGTGTTTCCTTGTGGTGGGTGGGGCACAGATGCGGTCTCTTACCTTTGGTCGCTTTTCCCTCCACCAGATTGTTTTTGTTGGGGGGCGGGGCAGTGGTGTCAGCGTTGACAAATCCAGTGGAAACTGGTCTTCGTCTCCCTCACTCTTCCCTTGCATTTGGCTGCGGTCCATTCTTCCTGGAAACTTTCCGCCTTTGCTGCGTTTTTGGGCTTGCTGTCTCCTGTGGGCACCCGCTCAGCCTGCACCCCAGGTCTGGTGCTGGAACTCTGGTGTCCTTTCTGCTTGGGGGCCTCAGCCTTAGCTCAGCACACCGTCTGTGTCTGCCCGTCCGACGCCTCACGTTCACTTCCTGCCCATACTTCTGCATCTCAGACTCAGGGGTGCAGGAGCGTCCGCAGCTTCCCTGTTTCAGCATCGTAGAGTGGACACTGGCAGAGGGGAGGCCTCGTCCCTGTCCCCACTCTGCCGCAGCCACATCCTGCAGCAGAGTCCCGGCTCCTCCTTCCAGTGAGGGCTGTTGATACTGTTTCCAGAAGTTACCTGGACACTGCCTGGTCTCCATCTTCACTGTGGCCCCCTCGGTGCCTCTGTCCCCCACCCTCTTCTGGCTCACCCCGGCTCCATCCTGACTGGCCTCCCAGCCCCCCGTGCCTCCACGGAGCCCACTTTGGCCCTGAAATAAACCCCTTCCGTGGAGTCTTGTTACGTCCGCAATTCCTTATCAGAGGTGCTGCCGTCACTTGCTCGGCTTCAAGTTCCTCACACCACTGGCTTTTCCGTCCGTAGCCGGTCTTCCCGAGGCTGCTCCCAGGCGTCACCCCGCCCGAACCCTGACTCCTCTTCCAGTCCTTTCCTCCGACCTCAGCGCTGCCGTTGGTTTTCACTCCCTTGGCTCCCACCCAGGCCGGGATTTTTTAATGTTCATTTTCTTGTTTTGGTCCATCTTCCACATTAATGTCTGCGGAGAGAGACTTGTTTCTCCCGTCCCCCGTTGGATCCCTAGTGCCTAGCACAGTGCCTGGCGAACTTTCTCGATTTTGGACGTCTAATTTTCCAAGTCCACAGCATCCTCCACAGAGAAGTTCAAAACAGCTGTCTGGGGTCTTCGTGAGAAGGGGTTAGATGGCAGACCGAGGAGACTAACTAGCAGTCCCACCCCCAGTTCCAGTTCTGACTTTCAGTGTGGGTCTGCATCCCGCCATGTGCCCCGGACCTGGGTCCCCACAATGGAGGTCCCCTCATGCGTGTTAGTGACCCACAGCCCTGTGGGCGCCCAGGGCCTTCGCCCAGCTCTTCAGCGCTCCATTTCCCTGCTGAGTGCTTCCGGCCTCCCTCTCCGCCACACCCGCAGGTGGAAGGAGACGGTCCGGTCTCATTGCCGCACAGCTCTGGTGACCGCGGAGTCTTAGTCCTGGTCGCATGCAGCTGTCCTTCCCGTCCACGGGGAGTCTCCTCAGTGTCCCTGTGCCGTGCCGCCTCCTCTGTGCCAGCGGCAATACCCTGTGTGCCTGCAGCTCGCTGAGGGTGCCCTGTGTTGTCTTCGTTTCCTTGCTTCTGGCACGAGGTGACTGCTCAGTCAGCAGTGGCTGTGGAGACGGGGGACCACGGTCTCTGTGGGGGACCAGGAGATGACATTTGTGCTCTGCGGTCTGTACATTTGCTTCAGTCTTACAGTGTGTTCTCTTTACTATGCTTCTATGTCTGAAAAAGGGGGATATGAGTGCTGAGCTTTTTATAGCAGAGTCCTCAGGAATTCGGGGTGCAGGGAGACACGTTTGTGCACATCTGTTCCAGGCACGACCAGGCCGTCTCGGATGACAAAGCTCTGATGGTGCTGAGCGAGGAGCCCGTGCTGTACCTGCCGCCCCCTCCGTGTCGGCCCCTGATCAACACCACGGAGTCCCTCAGGTCAGTGTCACCGAGCCGGCTGGGAGGGGCGGCCGCCGAGGGTCTGAGCCACCACTCATCCAGTGTCCCATCTGCCTGAGAGACACGGTGCATCCATTCCGTGTGGCGGGTGCAGCCTCAGACATCCCATCTGAAAACTGCAGAGGGACGTCGATGTGAAAGTTCGGGGTGTGCGTCAGGCAGGCGGGCGGTGACACAGTGGCGCTAGGTAGACAGTAACTGGGATACATGTGATCGCGGAGACACTTCCCACAGGTGTGCCTCTTCTCCCCTGCTTCTCCACGGAATTTTTTCTGTGATTTTAGATCCCATCCTCGAACCTCAGAAACCGCTTCGGTATTTTATGACTAGTAGTAACTACAATTAAGTAGATGCAGTCACAGCGGCTTCACAGCTGCTCCAGAAAGGAAAATAAAAGGACATTTTAGTAGAACTTGGCTTTTAAAATTTCTGGTTGGAAAATTGGAAAACTTGGATCATGGTGCCTTGAAATTTCTTTTTCTTCCCGAGCATCTGAGTTCACTCGTTCCTTTCCCACAAAAGAGGTGATTTTCAAAGGTTGTAACGTACCCGTTGTTATTTGACATCCTATGGCCATCTCCCCTGCCCGTCTGGGTGCGGGGATGCAGCCCAGGGCAGGGGCAGGAGACACTTTCCCGTGGAGACACCTTTGCGTCCGTGTTTGACCGGGCAGGTGCTTAGGGGCGGTTTCCATTGCACTTTGCCCTCAAGGTTGAGGAGGCCACCGCATAACAGTTGATGCCTTATTAAAAACAACTGTATTTTCACTTTTTGCAGCCAATGGCAATACTGAGCCCTCAGGCACTTGGAATGCTCTTTGGAACCTGTGGAGTGTGGTTAAATTTATTTCTAATCTCTACTCTGTGTAATGTGCATACTTAACAAAGCTGTTTTTTAGGTTAAATCATGAACTTCGATGGTGGGTGCACAGACACGAGGTGGAAAGGACCAAGTCGAGGAGGATGACGAACCATCAGCACAAAGCCCCTGTTCTTCAGGTGCGTTCCTGTGCACCTTCCAGCAGCGGCTGAGTGTTGCTGTCTTTGTGGGAAGGCTGCTCCCAGCTGGGCTGCCCTGTCCCTGGAAGATTTGGGCGTCTGACCCTCAGCCGCCTCCGACGGCTTTCTGCAGTGCCCGGTCCCTGCCCCTGCCTGGGATCGCTGGCATGGGGTTGGACTGCGCACCCTTGGATTCCTTGCACAGCCTGCTACTGTTTCCTGCTCTTCCACAAACTTCCTTTCACAGCATCCACATCCAGTGTTTTGGCACACACAGTGTGATAAATATACTGCTTATGTTCTTTGTTCTTAGGGCTTTTCAAAAAGAGGGTGTTGAAACATAGGGCAGGTGGGGATGGAAGGCCCCCTCTGTGGAGAGTGTCCTTGGACTCCGGGAGCCCTGCAGGTGGACGGCAGCTCTTGTGTGGACCTGGAGTCGGGTGCCATTTGCCACAAAGCACCATGCGTTGTCCCTGCATCACTCGTCAGGCGTCTGTCGCTTCTCTGAGGTGCAGACCCCGGAGCGCAGTGCCAGGGCGTGAGCTCTCGTGTTACTGTCTACCTCGCATTTTTGCTGACTGCGACTTTTGCTAAATCCCTGTAGCTACGAATGCCCAAGCTCATGGCTAGTTTTTCAGGTTTCTTTAAGGGGTGTGAATTCTAGATAGACAGATGGCATTTCCAACTTCTCTTTGCCTACTGTTGCTGTCAGTTTTTTATAGCCTGGTGTTTTCTGAGTCCGGGGACCAGGTCTTGCTTCTTTGGTGAGCTCTCCTTGACGACGGCGTCATCCCCGGGGGCGGGGGTGGGGGGGCGCGGGTAGGCATGAAGGTTTTTGTGCCTACTTGGTAAACAACAGGGTCTGGCTTCACGATGGACCTTCCACACTTCAGGAAGTTTTCATTGGGAAAATAATTGTTTTAGGCAAGCGTAAATTGTTATCATTTCAATAATACTTTTATGACTTGGCCCTGAGACTTGTAATACCTGAACTAAGCTTTGGGGATCTTAAACTAAAAACTTGATGGGAAGTGTCTTAGATGCCTTGGTCCCCGTGCAGACCGTGGCCAGGGGAGCTCAGTCTCTGTGCTGGTGCCGCGCTGTGCAAGTTCATGGCCGCTCCCGTGAGGGTTTGGTAACTGGGAGTATAGAGTGGGTCGGTGCAGGGAGACCTTCACGCATTTTCATCCACGGCACCTGCTGCTTGTTCTCTTCCAGGGTGCGCTGCAGCAGGGCCCACCTTCGCAGCTCCTGGCCGTCCAGTACACGGAGACTACCAGCGTCAGGTGAGCGGGCGGGCACTCTGACCAAGGCCAGGGGAGTCCTCGCTGCCTCTGGGCTCTGTGTGCAGGAATCCACCTGCTTGTGCGGACGTATTCGTAACCCAGTTCAGCGCTCAAAGCGCTTTTGTGTTTGCCAGCATGCGACCCGGTGCCAGGTCGGGTCTAGCAGGACCGCGCCCTGCCTCCCGTTGCAGGCGTCCCCTGCAGGTGGGGCAGTGCCGTGTTTCTCACACTTCTGTGCTTGTTGTTGGCAATTGCCCTGGTCTGCATGTGCTGGGGTGTGGGTGTCCCCAGCGCAGGAAGGCCGGCTGTGCCAGGGGAGCTTCAGTCTGGCCTGAGTCACTGTGGGGTCTGTGGCCGTGAGCGACACTCCCGTGTTCCAGAAGGCATCTCAGGAGAACAGGCTGCACGCTGGCTGTTGATGAAAGCACAGCAGCCAGGAGCTCGCAGAGTCCACAGCCTGCTCTTGCTGAGAACAGAATTCAGCACGCACAGCACGTGGACACAGAATAATCTCAAGCTCTGTGTTCAGGTTCACTGTCAGACGGGGTCCTGGGAGCACGAGGCACAGTTTCACAGGGGGCTGTCGTGGCTCATGTAGACTTTCCTCTCAGCCGTTCTTTTTCTCCTAAGTTAATAGAAATTGAAAAACTAAAGATTCATGGAAATTGTGAAAGAACATAATATCAGAGGGAAAAGTAAGCTGCTTTGGAGAGAATAAGCATTCTTTCTTTACATCTCCTTTAACCCGTGGTGGTAGCTTATTGTGCAGAGCAGTGGAGCCCTGTGTCGACATCGCAGTCACTCGCGCGAGTCTGGAGAGGTGCTGTGGTTCGAGGTCCCTCTGTTGGTGCCTCTGTGGCGCTTTCCACGTTTGACCAGCAGGTGTCAAGAGATGCCTGTGAGGTGGGCCCTGGGGGTGCTCCCTGTCCCGTCTCACCCCAGACCCTGGGGTTGCTCTGACGGGGCCTCCCCGCGGATGCCCTGGGGGAGAAGGACAGGAATTCAGAGCCAGGCTGCTGCGTTCTGAATCCTGAGCTCTTTCCGCCCCCACGGCCTTGGAGGTGGGTGGTGCAGGGTCTCGGGCCTCCTTCTTGCTGCCAGAAACGGGCCGTCGTGCTGCCGTGGCTCTTCCGTGGTCTTCACAGTGCACGTGGCTGTCTGGGGTGTGCGAGTCCCAATTGAGAAAGGGGATGTTAGCTCAGCTGATGGAATCTTGTGAATCTCCTGACCTCAGGCTTTTTGAAATGTTGTTATAAAAAGTGGCTGAAGTGCTACTAATATTTTGGTTGAGATTCTTATGATTCAGACGTGGGCTGAGAGTGGAAGTGTCTCTGAGGGCAGGTGGCACTGCATGGTGTGAGAACACTGCCTCCTTCTCCCTCTGCAGGACGGCGGGGAGCGAGCTCCAGGTGTACCGCGCCTCCCCCGGGAGCCACCGGGACTTCTTCGACGCCATCCGCAGGAGGGGAGACACGTTTTACGTCGTGTCATTTCGGAGGGTAAGTGCGTTTTGAAAGGCAAAAGGACGCCTTTTTGAGGCCCTGCGCTGTCCCCTGCACCGGGCAGAGCACTGGGAGGTGGCTGGCGTGGACGGAGCTGGCCTGACGCTGTGCACCTGCCAGGCGGCTGCCGTCGACAGGGCGCATGCAGGCCCGGTGCCGGGCAGGGGCTCCGCGCCGACAGAGCGTTCCCTCTGACGTTTCTGTCGTCCCTGTGGCCACGTGGCCGTCCTGCGTGTGTGCTGCCAGAGGAGAAGTGACAACATACGGGTGTCTGCATAGGCCTGGGGGTGACTGTCAGTTAACGAAATGTAGCCGTCGCCGGGCAGGTGTCGGGTGAGCTGTGGGCCGTGGGATGTCTGCTGTGTGGTCCCGAGATTCCACTCCTTCCTCTGTCCGTCAGCGACATCGACTTCTGCGGGCGCAGAAGGTGCTAGAAGTTTCTCAGCTCACACAGAGTCAGCATCCCCACAAGCACTTTTGAGTGTCACACTCATTGGTGGTGACCAATGGAGTACACGGCTGTCTTTGCTCTAAAAGGAAGACGCACTCTGTGTGGGGTCCCCTGTGCAGACCCCGTGCTGTGTGTTAAACCAGGAACAAGTGGTGAGCTAGAGTTCCTCAGTGCTTTGTACCCGAAGTTTTTCTAGAAGCACACATGGTGGTTTGGTTATAAATAAGCACATTCCAACAGCAGAGCAAAGCGCGCCTTCCCGGCTTCCTGTCACCACCTCAGCCCTGAGACCCTCAGTTTCCTTTCTGTGCTGTGAGCGCCGAGGGGCCCAGAGCTCTGGGACTGGGGATGGGGAAACCCAGGGTGCCCTGCATTTGTGGTTCGCAGTGACACCTGCTGGGACAGTGGAGGGCCCTAGTGGTGACATCTCGGGTCTCTGCCCCCACACGCCCCTGCATGGGGCCCTGGGCGGAGCCACAGCAGCAGCAGGGGCAGCTGCCCTGTGGGCTGACGAGGCTCAGTGGAGAGGAAGGAGACGCAGAAATGAGGTCCGGCGCCCAGGAAGACGAGACGTGGCATACGTGGAGATGAGGCTGCTGCGGTGTGCGTTGCAGAGTGTGCCCCACGAGGGTGTTGTGACGCTCCGAGAGCGGACCGCCGAGGGGCAGGGCGCCCCCTGTGCCGCTTGGTCCAGACAGCGGTGTGTATCGGAAGTAGCGTCGAGCCGCCGCAGGCGCCACCCCGTCAGGCAGTTTGTGTCTGCAGGGAGGAGAGCATCGTCTGTTGGAGAGGACGGTCCTGCCTGTGAAGGGACCGTCGTGGTAGAGGAGGGCGGATGGCACTGTTTTCAGTGGGTGCCCCCCGTGTCTGCATTTGTGGAAGTGACTTCTCGTGCGTTTGCTGTGGAGAGGGCTGCTGGAAGGTGATGGACGCCGTTCTTCACCTTCTCGTTTTTGTAGAAGCCGTCCTCCTCCCGTTGGGGACCCGACAGGACACTTTCCTGTTGGGCCTCTCCGTTCCTGATTGATCACTGATCGCATCTCCGTGCTTTACAGAAAGTAAAGAGGAAGGATGAGCCTGAACCTCTCAGACAGTGGTCGTTGGAGATACCGTCCTGTTTCTTTCTGGTTTTAACAGTGGGGTAAAGAATGAATTTCACCACAACGAGCACAAACTATGTCATGGGAAAGGAGTTTGTTTCTCGAACCCTGGAGTGTGCGTCCTGTTCTTGCTAAGATGTAAAGGAAAGAAGTGAGGCTTCTTAAAGTGACCGCCCCACCCACTGTGTTGGTGTTGGGTGTGATGAGCCGCCTGTTGGACGGGGCCCCGCAGCCTGCCTGCTCCTTGAACCTGGTCCCCACGCCCCCACCCGCCTCAGCGGCATGGCTGCTGCACCCCGAGGTGGCTGCACCCCTGCTGTCCCTTCCACGCTCCTCAGAGATTCACCCCAGGCTGTTCACTGCCTGTCTCCCTGTTGTGGCTTCTGTTTTTCTCCTTTTTGACTGTTTTACTATGCTGTGGGGCAGAGGGTGGGGAGGTGTGATAGAAAATAACTTTTTTCAAGTCACTTTGAGTGTGGTATAGCTGATGCAATAATAAGAAAAAACCAGTCAAGTTTAATGAGTGTTTTTCTCAAGAAGGAGGTTACATTAAAGAATGTAGCAAAGGGAGCTCAGGGGCTCGGAACGGACTCAGGCGGGGGATGAAGCTCCGGTCAAGCAGGACACAAAGGTGACTGCCGAGGAGAGGGCAGGAGCACGCGCGGGCTTTATCAGCGCCACGGCAGACGCTGAGACGCATCCTTGTCCTTTGCTGACTGGGGACGGGGGCTTCTGTCTCTGTGGTGGTGGTTCTTTGGCTCGGTGTACTGTGAGTCACAGCTCCATGATCCCTTTTCCTTTCAATACTCCTTTTTCAGATGAGGTAGATGCCTGCTTGGGGAACATTTCTTTTAAAAAACAGATTTTATTTATTTATTTTTAGAGAGAGAGGGAGCAGGAGAGGGAGAGAAAAATCACTGTGGGCTCGCCTCTTGCCCACCCCCAACCAGGGACGTGGCCCACAACCCAGGCCTGTGATCTGACTGGGAATCGAGCTTGCAACCCTTTGGTTCACAGGCCAGCGCTCAGTCCACTGAGCCACACCAGCCAGGGCTTGGGGAACATTTTTTATTTTTCTTACACTCTTTGTGTTCACTGTCTGTCAAATCAGAGGTGGACACTTTGTCATTTCACCTGTTTCAAACACATACAGCACACCGTACCACGAGAGCCTGCATGGGGGTCCGGGCCGGCCTCAGAGAGACATCCCCTGCTTCCTGGCACCTTGTGTCTTCCAGGTGGAGGGCCTTTTCTGGGCATCGTGCCCCTTCTTGGTGTCTTACAAAGAGTTCATTACCAGTATTGCGTGCGTGGATTCTGAGGCCAGCCTCGAGCAATGCCAGGGTAGGGTCTCGCTGTGACTGAAGAAGCACAGGCAGTGCCCGCGGTCTTCTGGTCCTTGCAGCCACTGTGCTTGCTCCAACTCCGTAGCAGCCCCCGGGATTCCACCGCGCTCTGTTCCCCGCGGCCTCTTCCCTGCGGCTTACCCACCGCTCCCTCAGCCCCCACAGCAGGGCCTCCGGAGGTGCCTGTGGTGATCCCCCTGGGGCGCTGCCCAGAAAGCCCCGGGCCTGCCCCCCGAAGCCCAGGAGTGTGGCTGGCCTCTCACTCTGAGCCCGGGGCCTCTCGTCTGTGAGGCGAGGCTGGGGACCTCACGTCAACACCTTCTCAGATGCCCCCCCCCCACCATTCGATCGGAAGGGCGCGTCTTCTCATGGACCGCACGAGCCTCTTTCGAGCAGCACGTGTCACCTGCTTTCCATGCCCCGGCCTGTGCTGGTGCCAGCTTCTCAGGACCGCTCAGGTGCCTGCACTGAGACAAGTCATTGACGTCTGTTGGGTTTAAAGAATCTTGAGCTTGTGTTACTGACTCCAGCAGGGATCTCGGCAGTGCTGGCATCCAGCAGAAGTTCTCGTCAGAGGAGCGAGCCGGCGATGTGTCAGCTTATTCTTGTCTCTGAGTCAAAGCTTCACCACCAAAGACATTGCCTCGGTGAAACGTCGCGGGGGTACCCGCCATGACAGAATTTACTTATTAAAAAACTGTACTTACTCTTACGTGTTTAAAGTTAGTCCCCTTCAAAGTATCCTGCAATTGATACAAGTCACTTGTCAAGACGTTTTTCCACTGCTCAAAGCAGTTTTTGAACTCATCGATTTTAATGCCTTTTAGTGCTTCTGCTGTTTTTTGTTTCACCTTTTCCACTTTGGCAAAATGTTACCCTTTGAGGACTTTCTTCATCCAGGGAAACAAAAGTCATTTGGGGTGAGACCAGGTGACTAGGGAGTGTTGGGCATGGGGTCATGCTGGTTTTGGTCAAGAACTGCTAAACACTCAGCACGTTGTGGGCGGCTGTGCTCCCAAATCACCCGTCATGAAATGGGCAAACACGGTGAGGGAGCCTTCCCGAAAACTCACTTGAGCCGAATGCAGCCTCTCACAACAGCACCAGCTGGTGTACTGATACAGATGTGTTTCTAGAACACTTACCTAGAGGGGGAAACCTGTACAACAAGAGGCACACCCTCCAGAAGATAATTCCAGATATTTTTTGGTTCCTCCTCATTTAGTCAATTCCTGTGGCCACGAGGTGCTTGCACCCTCAGTTTTTAACATTTGGAAGAGATGTTCTGGAGTAGGTCGTTAGACCTCACCGCTTTCTTTTCTGGAGAAGGGATGGTGTCTAGTACCTGTGTGCATTCAGACAGCAGGAGCTGGAAACTTGGAACTTTGGACCAAGGATGGGAAAGGCTCGACTTGGTGCAGAAAGGTTGACGGTGAAGTTAGTGTTTCAAAGGGTTTATTCCCATGGAAGTCCACCTGAAAGAATGTCGCGGAATAGCGGTGGGATTTCCTAAGTGAAGGCTAGATTGAGGCTAGAAGAACGGTATATTTTTGTAACATGTATTACGTATTTCTTGGAAATTTATGAGTGTGTACAATTTTATACAACATCTTCAGAGAACAGAGGAGTTTCCTCAGTAATCACAGGCAGTAAGTTTGTAGTCTCCTTCGAAAGGGACAAGATCCTCTTGTTTGGGGTCTTTGTGACTAGAGCCTGTACATGGCCTTGGAGTTTGGCCGTTTTCTTACCTGCACTTTCCTGGCCTTTTAACTGGATTCTTTCTCCAGGTGGAGAAAAATGTGAATATGTGACTTTGGAAAGATAGTTGCTTTAAAAAGAAAGTCTTGTCTCAGAGGAGAGACTTTTAAAAAACCTTCTTTCAGAAGGCCTTTTCCTAATTAATTTTTTTGGTTTTTGATACGTATTTTGATATCGTCCCTCATGTATCAATTTTGCTTAGGAAACTACCCATTTTACTTAAATCCACAAATTATAGGTGTTATGATAAAAAGACCTACCAGTTTGATAGGTAAAAATGCTACCAGATCACTACTTTGACGTACACTTCCTTTCTGCCTTGGAGTTTATTACTCATGAAAT